TTTAGAAACTATCTGTAATCGTATCCTGGTAAGAAGAATCTAGTGAGTCATTTTTTTCATTAGTGGCTGAAGTAAGCAAAGTAGAGTAGTATTTATAATAACACCCACCCTTTGGGTTGTGTCATGTAGTATTCTCACTCTTAACTTGAATGATTTTGATATAGTATTTTTTTAATCTAAAAAATAAGAAATTCAAATAAGGGTTTGAATCCAAATTTTTGGATTTAGGTTCAGATACACTGAAAAGACACTGAAAATTAAAAAACAACAACAACAACAACAAAACAAAACAGTACTAACTCCTACATTATGTCATGGAGCATTTTTTCCCTGTGATCTTCAGTGGGCTCAATATAAGTATTTATTTGATTCTAATAGGAAATCACATTTCAACCAGGATCTGCTATAGACTGATATTTTTTAAACTATGGAAATAACATTTTAAAATATTCTAAATATTACTACATTCAACACTTGGTAACTATAAAATGTTTTGACTAAAGCCTTTAACGATTCATGAAGCAATCAATGAAAAAAAGTAATGAAAACTCCAAAATTTGGACTTTTTCCAGAGTTTGGGATTGTTTAATTAGGATGTCAGCCCAGAGAAATGAACGCTACTTTGTTGTTGTTTTCTCTAAACACAAACACAGTATAGCTCATTGAAGAGTCTCACTGAGCTGTGGTAAAAGCTCTCAAGGGAAGGGGCTTTATAACACTCCTCAGCTTATTGATGAAACCCTGGATTTGAAACCACTGGGGCGGCAAACATCTTTGTCTCCAACAGGAGAGATCCACCCAACTAAATGTACAGTCTAAGAAGGGCAGGGTTATTCCTGATTTAATGGGTCCTGCATGTGCCTTGCAAGGATAGAGGATAGAGGAACAGGTTTGAATAATAAGGAAAATTTTGTTACATTAAAGATCGCTTTTGATGAAGATGAGGAATATTACTCACCTAATTTCTAATATGAAAAAGTTGACCAGTAACAGCATTTTTTTTAAAAAGGTACCAGCTTGTCTATACATTTTCTTTAGACTTGAATGAAAAGTATATGATCAAAACCTTATTTAATAAATATATATATTATAATTTATATATTAGATAAAGATATGTATGTTAGATACATTAGATCAATGAAAATTTTTAGTTATAGAGCTGAATGCATACATAATATTAATATAAATATATAATATATAGATAACATTTATATATAATGTAACTGAACTTCTACAAATTAGAAATTCATTTGATTCAGTAAATTTAAATTTTGAAACAAATGAACAATGACAAAAAAATCCCCTCTGAGGAGATTAAACAGGCTAGTCAACCGAAAATCAACATGGCTTATTTTAATAAACTTAAATTGTCATTTCTTAATGCTCAAATGATATTAGCTCATTCTTCCAAAATAAGAGTTTTGACTGATGAAAGAGAGTAAGGAAGAGCAATTTAGGCCCACCTGCCTTTGAATATGAACTTCTTCAATTCCTGGAGTGATCCAAAGGAGGTAATAGAAGCTTGGTCAGAGATGCAGAAAAAGGAGGGGATGGTTATTAAAGATACATTTCCCATCCTCACAGAGTTACTCATGATTTCAGTGGTAATAAATGTCAGCATGAGTCTGGACAATGTATTTCAAATGCAGCATCTGTCTGTACTGATTTATTTGATATTTATTTTTTATTATTTAAAAATGTGATTTATCCTGCCTGTCACAAAGTAGGTATTTATTCAATAATTGATGAATAAATGGATATGAGATGGTCATCAGTAACTAGGGCCCTACTGTACTTCAGGAGCTTGCTGGGCAAGAAGGTCTGACAACAGAGAAGGGCTCGGGAATTCAACTACAAAATAATATCCATGAAAGTCGCTGTCTCCATAGGAGAAATCGAGAAAATTCCAGTGCTGTATTTTTTTACACATGGGTAAGTTTGGTCATGACAAGTAGAAATATAATACTAAATTAGTTGTCTTACATTATTTTGGGTGGATTTAAAAAAAATAGCCAAACAAATCACAGTAACTTAGAAGTTGCTACAATGTTTCTTTGCTATTGGTAGTAATTTGTCATTTGTGTATTTCTAAAATATGTACAAAAATAAAGAATTATATTAATAATTAAAATTCCAAACACCAAAACATCATTTAATGCTAAATGTTCTTAATTATCTAATTATAAAATCAATTAACTGAATTGTGCATGGCAATGACAAATATTGTCAAATGATTTACGCCCTTCTGTTCTAATATTTTAAGATTTTATTCATTTATTTGAGAGAGAGAGAGAGAGCGAGTGAGGGGAGGGACAGAGGGAGAAAATCTTCAATCAGACTCCCCGCTGAGCATGGAGCCCAACACAGGGCTCCATTCCCATGACCCTGAAATCATGACGGGAGCTGAAATCAAGAGTCAGACGCAGAACCAACTGAGCCACCCAGGCACCCCTATTCTGCTAATATTAAAGTACATTGCAATCATTGGAATCTATGTTGAAAGTATGTTTGTAAGACAAAAATTCTGTTTAATCTATGAGTACTCGAAAAAATAAAAACATCTTAGATTGTGATGCAATTTTAGGCAGGGACTAAAGAAACTATCAAAACTTTCCAAATATTTTTGAAAATGACACATTTACACATAACAGAATAGAAGTTGCGAGTCACTAAGCCTATACTTGTCCGTATCTAGCTCACACAATTTCCTGGTAGCCTGAGTCTATTACTGTGAGAGCCTCTGTGAGCTATTTCGGCTCAACATGAGACATTCTGATGGGCAATACTAAAGTTAACGATACTAAATTGCATACTTGAAAGTTGCTAAGAGAGTAATTCTTAAAAGTTCTCATCACTAAAAACCAATATATTATAGCTATGTGAGGTGATGAATGTTAACTAAACATTCAATTATATCTCAATTAAAAAAAATTCACTCCATACTTTTCTGCAGGGTTGGCCAAGTTTTATCAAGCTACAGTTTGATATCTTCTCTTACATAATTGTTATGAGTTTCATACATGTTGTTGGAGTTAATTCCTTTTTATGGCTTGGCAGTCTACTGTATGCATATACTAGAGTTTGCTTAACCATTCTTCTGTTGCTGGACATGTAGATGGTACCTAGTTTTTGACTATCACAAATAAAGCTCCCATGAACATTCACGTACAAGTCTTTGTATGGACATATGCTTTCAAGTTTTGGCAAATCTGAAATCTTTTCAAGCTTCCGTTATAAGAACATACCATTTTCATCTTCTAGATTGGCAATATTTAAAAAACTGTGACTTTTGATGAGGGTGTATAGGGGATAAAGAACACTCTTTCACAAGCAAAATGGGACTACGGATTGGCACAAACTTTTCAAGGGTAATTTGATAGAATTTATCAAAATGAAAAAAATATGCTTATTCTTTATTCCAGAAACTCCTCATAATTTGCTGCAATTACCCTCTGTGTGCCTCAGTTTCTCAGCAGTAGAAAGAGGATGATAATACATAACGTATATCTCATAGGTTCAATAGGTAGTTCATAGGACTATAGTGAACATTCAATAAATTAATTCATGAAAAATGCTTGTCATGCCAAAATTCTTTTTCATTATTATTTTCACTATTACTTATAGGAAGCTATTCTTCAGAAATACTTTATCAAATATGGAAGAAATGTACATTTAAGGGGTTCGCTACAACAATATTGTTATAATAAAACACTATAAACAATCTAAAGATATTATTACATAAATTGTGGTAGATCTGTTGGAGGCAATATAGACAAGGTGTGACAGGCAGCCCAGGAGGAGACCTGGCCTGGTTCTAAATCCTGACTCAGTCCTTGCTAGTCGTGGAGTTTGATCCATACCTTAATCTATCTATCTCTCAGTGTCTCAGTTTCTTCAACTGTAAAAATGATAATACTAATACCCACTTTATAAGAGTTTTTGTGCAGAATCAGTGAGACGTTATAGGTAAGTTCCTTAGAAGAGAATCAGGACAGGGGTGCCTGGGTGGCTCAGTCGGTTAAGCGTCTGTCTTCGGCTCAGGTCATGATCCCAGGGTCCTGGGATCGAGCCCCATGTCGGGCTCCTTGCTCAGCGGGGAGCCTGCTTCTCCCTCTCCCACTCCCCCTGCTTGTGTTCCCTCTCTCTCTGTGTCTCTCTCTGTCAAATAAATTAATAAAATCTTAAAAAAAAAAGAGAATCAGGCCATAATGGACATTCCGCAAATCGTAGCATTAGTTTGGAAGGTTATATGCCCTTTATAAGAATATGAGCAGGCCCACGTGTGCTTCTATAGAAGGATACTCATTAGAGGAAGCCTTTATTTTTTTCCCTGTAGATATTGTATAATGGGTGCAGGTAAAGGATCCACTTATATATGCTTAGACATAGATGTAAATGTTCAACCATTTGTCAGTTATTACTTTAACCTCTTATTATAGACAGAGAAAAATAGTTAAGCATATTTCAAGTTTCAAATACAACTTTCTTAATTTTGATTACAAATGAAATTTTTTTTTAAAGATTTTATTTATTTATTTGACAAAGACATAGCGAGAGAGGGAACATAAGCAGGGGGAGTGGGAGAGAGAGAAGCAGGCTTCCCGCTGAGCAGGGAGCCCGATGCAGGGCTCGATCCCAGGACCCTGGGATCATGACCTGAGCCGAAGGCAGAAGCTTAACGACTGAGCCACCCAGGCACCCTTACAAATGAAAATTTTAACATATAGAATTGATCAACACAATAGTGAAGAGTAAAAATCAAAGTTAAAAAACAAACAAACAAAACAACAACAACACTTCTTGGTCTTTGAGTAATTTATTTGAATTGTGAATTTAGGAAATATATGTTATATATTTATATACATAGTGAATAACAAGAGGTAAGCATTTTATTGGAAAGATTACTGTGACTGACAAAACTGAATGATTGCCATTTAATCGATTACCTTAATGTTAAAATGACTTAAGACGAGAGAATAAGAACTGTTATGTTAACAAATGCACTTCACTTTCTCTGCCACTAAATCACTTTAGGAGCAAGAATTTCTTTGTATACAGGTTATCCAAAAGATACTCAAATAATCTTATGACATAAACAAACTTACAGCCTTACCCAGATTAAAAAAGAAGCTGATTTTCATTTCATGTTAGAAAAGCCAAAAACAGAGCAGATGTGCAGGCAAAGACAAATAAAAACACTGGCTCCTTCTCAGTAAAGGTGATAGTCTGTCTTTCACACTAATTTATGTACGGTATAACAAGTAACCACTAAATGTCGTAGCAGGGGGAAATTTGGCGGGAATTGTTCCTTTAACAAGTCGCAACCACACTTCCTGCCCATAATTTAATTCTAACAAAGCATCCCCAGTTAAAACCCTGTCGCAGCGTATTTCACCGTTAACATTCTCAGATTCAAATGCAAGCTTGTCTCTTCCATCAACCACTAAAAATCCAGAGATATGGGCACTAAATGACTCAATGGTGTACTTAAACACATACACCCCAAGATAAGGAATTCTGAATTTTCCAGTTCTTGGAGTATAAGAAGCTCCATAATTGATGTCCAAATTATTAAATAGGATAGGACCGGGTGTCGTCATTCCATATGTGTGAGATGCAAAAAAGGCCACCATCGGTGCATATCTGTAAGATCCTTTGGAAAAATCTGTTAGAGGAAAAAAATGGAGTCAGTTTTCATGTTTGTTTTTTTTTAATCATGTTTTGTCTTTCCTCATTTATCATTTTATCTCAGTTATAAAAAGGGGTAGCAGAAGAAACAAAGGTCATTCATCAGATTTTTAACAAGGGTATAGGTGTCTGGATGCTTGTCTCTTCTCTTGGCTGAATTACCTGAAATCATTTGCTCTCTGTGAGCCTCAGTTTCTCCATTCAGATCAAGATAGAATGGTAATAGCGCTTGATATATCCCTCATAGAAATGCCTCAAAGATTAATTTGCATGTTGCTTTGATCTCTCCAGAGATAAAGGAATTCAAAGCACTCTATGATTATTATGGTATACCAAAATGTTTTAAAGCCCCTTGCAGGAATTGAAGCTGACATGATGTAGAAACAATTTTTCCAGCACCTTGTCAGTTTCTAGAGGGTAAAACGGAAACCAAACGAAATCATATGCACTATAAAGAAGTAGACAAAAGCAATTTTCTATGTAATTAATGCCAAATGTACTTACAAAGGCTGAGATTCAAATAATAGTCTAAAAAATTTACTCTTTGTTATGCAGCATATTATTAAGAAAAGCCTGATTTGAAATTTGTTTTTGCGGTCATTAAAAGAAAATATATTTTAAATGCTGCACAAATTTTTTATATGAAAATCAGAAATGGTACACTCTTGAAGTTAATTTATAACAAACAATACTTATGAAGGTAAATGGACAAAAAAGGCATTTTGTTCTACTCAATACATTTGAGCATGTTCTAACAGTCCTCACCCAGTCAAAATGACATTATTAGCTTACCCTTCAAGGAAGACAGGCTGCCAATTACTTTTTAAAACTTCATTTAAGTGATCATATGTGATATGAATCAAAGGTATATTTCTTTATCAACTTGTTTGAGGAGAAAGAGTTTATACCAATCAGATATATGCATCTGTATTTTCTTTTGAGATGCCCAGGGAAAGAAGAAGACTGCTTCTGTCATATCAATATTGAAAATGTCCACAAGTGTACATCAATATGGATTTACCTGGCCGACATTTCCGCTTGTAAATCATGTATGTTCTCAGTAAGTTTCAGAGGTAAAAGGAATTAATCCTCACATGAGTCCAAATTACTCCGGTTTAAATATTCATTGGTAAATACTTTCAAGTAGTGTTTTTGTTTACAACAGCGAGCGAATCCAAGGACGCATGCGCGTTCTTACCTGGCGCCAACGAGTTTTCTTGCACCAGCTTGACGGTGCAATTGTCACCCGTGAAAGGGTGTCGGCAAGCGCAGACAGAGCTCCCTCTTGCATTTATACACGTGCCCCCGTTCTGGCACGGGGACCTGCTACAGTCTGAATACTCCTCTGTTACTGAAAAAGAATCAAGATAAAAGAGGGTCAAAGTGACCTATTTTCTCGTTGATCTTATAGTTTGCGGCAGAATGGGAAAAAACACTGAAGGAGAAATAAGAAAAATGGGTCCCTGGGCCCAGGCTGGCAGCCAGTGTAGTCACAGGACTTCATACAAGCTTAAGTCTCTGAGCTCCTTTTACTGCTTCTTGGACGTGGGGATCATTCTGTGACAAAGTGGGGATAATCCATTCTACTTCTTTGTGTGAAAATGTCAAGATTTTGGTCAACTGTAGAACAGAATAGGGTATCTGGACACAGATTTATATATATTTGGAAGTGACACATGATAAAGGTAATATTTCAAATCGGAGAAGAAAATGTCTATTCAATATATGGTGCTACTATAATTGAATATTCATAAAAACATACTTTCCACATGTACAAAAATACTAAAGGTAAAAAACCCAACAACCTATATGACAGTATTACAACCAAGTAAAAGGGGTATCTTTACAGAGCTTTAAAATTTTGGAGAATTCAGAGCAAAACAAAACAAAACAAAAAATCCAAAAGCCGTAAGAGAAAAATCCTGATATTTGACCACCTAAGAATTAAAAACACTTTTGCAACAAAAGTCACCATTATCAGGTTCAAAGACAAGTAACAGATTAAGAGAAAAATGTTTTCTCAGACACAAAGATCTAATGGATAATATCCATAACATGAAAAGTTCTGACCAATCTAAAAGGTTGTGGGGGAAAAAAAGTGAAAAATGAGCAAATGATATGAATGGGCCAATTACCGAACGAAAACTGCAAAAGTTCATTAAAATTTTTAAAGCTTATTCAACCTCACTACTAATTAAGGAATAATGAATTTTCACCACCAACATTTTTATATCAGGTGCCAACATTCTAAAAGATAGAAAATATTCAGTCATGAGGAAAATGGGCATTCTCATACAATGTTGGTTAGAGCTTAAATTGTTAGAACCTCTGAATGAACAATTTAACCATATTTATCAGAATTAAAAAGGTTCATTTGCTCAAAGCCAGAAATTTTTCCTGGCAGAATATATACTCCAGAGACACTTGCTTATGTATACAAAGAGAACTGTTTAAAAATGTTCTGTATGGCATAATTTGCATTAGTGAAAAATTGTCAGACACCTAAATGACCATTTCATCGTTAAATAAATTATAGGTATCTTTTCCTTAAGGAATACTAGCAGTTAATAAGATAGATCCCCCGACACATTTGATTTACTGAAGGCGGAAAGCTCCATTTCACACATTAGATATGGAATAATTTCAATTATTTAGAAAACCTCAAATTATGAATATGGTTATAAACATAATACATAATTATGTAAACAGAGAAAAGGTTGGGGAAAGAATATACATTGCTCGCCACGGTTACCGCCATGGCGCCACCTTGTGACAAAAGTGTAAACAGTTTACAATTCACTCATTTCAAATCCTGATTTTTTTTTTCTAAAGATTTTATTTATTTGACAGAGAGAGAGACACAGCGAGAGAGGGAACACAAGCGGGGGAGTGGGAGAGGGAGAAGCAGGCTTCCCGCTGAGCAGGGAGCCCAATGCGGGGCTCGATCCCAGGACCCTGGGATCACGACCTGAGCCGAAGGCAGACGCTTAACGACTGAGCCACCCAGGCGCCCCTCAAATCCTGATTGTTGATGATATTTAAATTTAGGGTGGTTTGGTTTAACATTTTTCTCAAGAAGTGAGATCTGTAAATGTTTTATATACATTATGCTTCATATTTGAATAATTCAAATTCATATAGACTGTGACCAAACTACATGCCTGTATTGGAATTTTTTTGCAAAGAAAATACATATTACTTATGCAATTAGAAATTGGTTTGCCTTATTTTGATGTATTCTCTGCAATATTCCATAAACGATTTTGCTCACTAAGATACATATGGAAAATATTACATATATGCAATATCTTTTCGAAAATATTTCAAACTGGCCTACATTTCTTTAACATCTTTTCTCAACCAGGTGAATAGGTTCTTAAACCCATCTATTTACTGTTAGCTATCATTCTAAAACCTAGCCCATTACTTCCTAGTTTTAAAAACTTCAATGATTCTCTATGACCTATAGAAATGTGAATTCTTGATGTCAAAGCACTGGTTTCATTTGTTTTCACATTTTCTGAATCTAGCACAGTGACTGACTCACAGGGTGGTGTTCAATCACTGTGTTTCACTAAGAATGAATCAACTGTGCAGGGGAGCTGGGGGGACACTGAATTATTTATGCAATCTGACTAGCTCTATAATTCTTATTTTCCCAGATGGGAGAATGCACTCTCACCTGGAGACTCTGCCCCTGCAAGAATCAGGAATTAAACAGAAATGTACTTTTTTTGTATTGCTATTGGCTCTACTGTGATTCTATACGACCAGGGCCTTTGCCTTCCATTTAATGTCTAGGATGCACCTTTCATTTTTCTCCTCTGTCTATTCCATTACGTCTAGGAATGGGGTGTTTCCTTGTTCCCTTTGAGTCGTTTCAGAGGATGCCATTTTGCCCTTTATTCTGATTTCTTTGCAGGGTCATTCATCTGGAGGAAGGTTCACTTGAGTTTGCTTGGGGCCTGCTATCTCCTATCACTGTAGTAGCTCGAATTTGCTGAGAATACACCTGGTTTGCCCGCTGGGGCCTCTCTCATGTTCCCCCTGAATTCCTGTTCAGGGTACCTCATACAATGGTCTGCACCTGCTTCTGTCACTTGTGTTTTAAGTTCCTTTCTTGCCTTCTTTGATATTTTTGATATCTCTGGTCTCCAAGTCCCCACCTAAATAATTCACATTATGATACATAAAATTATGCCCATGGCTCCCAGAACTGGATATATTAGGAATAGACTCTAATTAGAGCAGGCTACAGTAACAGTCACCAATTATGCTCTTATACTTAAATGAAATGACCTTAAACTTCTGTTAATGTTATATAAGCATGAAGTGCTCATGGTCTATTTTTGCATCTGTATTACATTGCATCATAACAGGCCTTCTATGCCCTGATGTCACTGAAATTACCTAAAATCTCATATTTTTTTAATTCATTTTAGCATGAATTTGCAATTATTACCAAGAAATACATTTATATTATAGGACTTATCATCTGTCCATAGAAACTTCGTTTTAATTCTGCATACTATGTTTTAATGAACTGTCCCAGCTTCATCATTTCCAAATTTACGTTTTATGTGTTCATCCAGGTCATTGATAAAAATACTTAATGCATCAGTGTTGAGCACAGAGCTTTATAACAACTGAGACTGATTGGCATTGATTTATCAAATTGAAACTATTTACATTTTAATATACAATCAGCTAAAATCTACTTTTGTACGTCATCCAACTTATATTTTTTACTTTATTACTAAAATACTTAAAAAATGGTTAGGTACCTTTATAAGTTCCTGTACATATTTGTGCTCAAAAGGCAATTTTTTTCTTGAATTAACAACAAAAATCAGATCCCCCAAAAAGCATCATTTTCTTCCTGACCCCCCAAAAAGCATCATTTTCTTTTTGAAATCTTCTCTCATCCCCGTCAATAGAATTAATTATGTTAATTCTCTTAATTATGGTCAGATGCTCAGAAGTTCTCTTGTTGAACTTATCACACTCTACTGTAATTGCTCCCACGTCCTGACTGCCAATTAGATTGTGAGCTTTCGCGAAGTCAGGGCTCGGGTCCTCTACTACACTTTGTGTCATTACTTACTAGCAGAGTGCCTGACATACCAAGTGCGGAAACGTCTTCTTAAAGATGAATAAACCAGCACGGGGTGATGTACGGAACTGCCGAATCACTATATTGTACATCTGAAACTAATATAATACTGCATGTTAACTACCTGGAGTCAAAATAAAAACTTAAAAAAAATAAAGGTGAATAAGCAAATTAATGAAATTAATGAAAGATTGAGTAGATGACAACATTTTTAATCCAACACTCTATCCCTTCTCCACAGTTCTCAAAGACCAGGTAGAGTTTGATGCTATGACGTCATTGGCACGTTTTTCTAGAGACATGGAATCAGCTCAAGCAAACTTTCCCCAGCTTCTCTCCTACCTTGGGCTTCAGTAACTCTTAAACTCTTTCCAGCCCATTTATTTTCTTTGGTAGAGGTCAGTGCAATTAGTTGAACAGTCCTGCCAATTCAACATTCTACTATCTTGTGCAAATGGCATAACTAATCTTTCAATATTCATTTCCGTGCTCTGAACATGACTAAAATTCCTTTGCCATTGTGTTGGAATGTTTCATAAGCTTCAATTTGTTCTGGTCTGTTCTTTCTGGACCCTAATATGTGCTCAAGTTACACTTTCCTATTAATCCTACTTCTATACTTCATAAATGTTCATGTTAAATTTGAACTGATTGGAGAGCTCCTTACATTTTCAAAAGCACTCTGCCTTTGCTAATATTTGCCATTCTTTATTATAATTATTTGCGTAATGTGCAAGGTCCATGAGAAGAGGGAGTGTGTTGAATTTACCACTCTGTCCACTTAATCTTTCTCAGGGCTCATTCAACACTCACTCAATAGGTATTTAATGGATAAAATAAAGCAGCATATTATATGGATGTCTTCTCCTCCATTCTTATTTTTATGTTGGCTTTTCATAATGTTTTACATATTTTATTTTATTTGGTATTTTCATTGCTTAGTCCTGTTTTATCATCAACATCTTATTTTTTCTTTCTTTATTTTTAACAATAACATTGCAGAGTGCAGATAATCCTGATCTCTGCTTGGAGCAGAATGGAGTTTCCAACAGATTAGTGAGGAAACCTAGCATTGCCTCTGGGCCAGTTTGTCATACACAGAGAAATGCATTATGTACAAATCCACTACACAACTTTGCTCAAGGTAACATGTCCACACAACATTAGGACTTTATTTGTCATCCCAATTCCAATGCTCTCTAAAATGATTCCTTCCACTTATGTGTACATTA